GGGGGGGGGGGGGGGGGGGGGGGGGGGGGGGGGGGGGGGGGGGGGGGGGGGGGGGGGGGGGGGGGGGGGGGGGGGGGGGGGGGGGGGGGGGGGGGGGGGGGGGGGGGGGGGGGGGGGGGGGGGGGGGGGGGGGGGGGGGGGGGGGGAGGATGGAAATGCGCTCTTATCATCTGCTTGGAGCCCAGGTATAATCAATAACCTTCCCAAGTTTCTCCCAAAGTCATAAGACAATAGATTGAGTAGCGCGCACCGAAAGGTGGTCATGGCTCCCATCTCTAGATTGTGAAATACTTTTTTGTAATGGTAAAGATATGCGGGGTCCCCAGTATTTTGAACATTGGATGCTGGTTTCGTCCGTACCACAGTATTTTGAACATTGGCACCAATTGATTATTATATTGTGGTTTCTTAATGTTATTTTTTGGCTTTCTTGTGTTTCTCATATTTTTCTGTTTACCTTCTCAGATTTTTTTTTTCTTAACCACTTTTGTTTTAGGCTTAAAATGTTTACTCAAAAGTCTTTTAATTGATACTATAACAACTTTAAGTTAGTGATACTTGATTATGTCTAATTATAAGAGAGAATCTTGTCTTTTGACAGGATGATATACGTAGGGAGGCTCAGACAATGAGTTTGATAGATCATCCAAACCTCGTAAGGGCTTATTGTTCATTTGTTGTTGACCGAAACCTTTGGGTTGTCATGCCATTCATGGCAGAGGGTTCTTGTTTGCACCTAATTAAGACAGCATACTCAGATGGCTTTGAAGAGGTTGCTATTGGTTCTGTCCTGAAAGAAACTCTTAAAGCCTTGGAGTACCTTCATCGACAAGGACACATACATCGGGATGTAAAGGTCCATTGACACCATAATTTTCAGATTAACTCTTGGTGTTTTCCTTTTTCCCATTCAATCTTAACTGTACATTGTGAAGGCTCTTATTTTATTATTCTTTTAATATTTGTGTTTGCAGGCTGGAAATATACTACTCGATGGTAATGGGGCTGTGAAGCTTGCTGATTTTGGTGTTTCAGCTTGCATGTTTGATACAGGTGATAGACAGCGCTCCAGAAATACCTTTGTGGGAACCCCATGCTGGTAGGATTTTTTTAGGCGGATACTTTTCAACCATCTTGTGTTTTTGATCCCCAAGTATTTACCTATTTAACTTTATTTTAGGATGGCGCCTGAGGTATTGCAACCAGGAACGGGATATAATTCCAAGTGAGTTTGTCTGATATTGACTTCAGATCAAATATTATCGTACAATTACCAGGGTTATTGTCACAATGAGTTAAATAGTTTTTTCTTTCATGTTATTGAGGACATACTATAGAGTTCTAGATCCTTTTATGCCCAGTGTTCGGGCATTGAATGCTGTTTGTTTCAATTATTACATGCTTCCCCAATTCCCATCGTGGCAAGTAATTTTATTTAATGTTATTAGTGTGTGAAGAAAAAATGTTTCATTAATAAGACAAAAGTTGCAACCAACCTATATTTACCTGCTCCCATAGAAGTTATAGACACCCTTGAACCTGTGGCTGCAGAACAAATGCTGTGTTTTCTTTGACAGAAGAGCAAAGCACCCCAGGAACTCTGAAAGAGCATAATAGAAGAGACCAAAATTTCAAACTGATGTGACACTGAAAAAAAATAAGTGATTTTGAGATTATATTGCTTTTAGGTAAAACACAGCAACAGGGATTTAGAGCCTAGTTTGGACATTGTAATTAAACCTTTCTATATTGTCAGCCACTAAAGCAAAGATTCCTCACCAATAGTTTCTTTCTTTTTTGGGCATCTTTCCTTCCAAATGACCTTCACTAGGTCATTGTTTGCTCAAAGGATTAGGGCATAATGACTCTCTGAAACATGATTTCATAAAAAAATATGCAGATGCCTTGAGTCCCGAAACTCTTCTATCTCACTCCCTTGAAAATGAACATTCTCTTGCAGTCTAAGCATCTTCTCCAAAAGTTCTACCTCACGCCCTTGAAATCTGTTTTGATCTATTGGTGTCTTGTACTTGTGCAACTTTTATTTATTTATTTATTAATGGACCTCTAGTTTTCCTGACTTGTTCAAAGCAAAGATGGTCGACAGTTTCAGTAGAAAACTGTAAGGGAGTGTTTGGTTTTTAAGAATGAAATTGGAATTTGAGATGTGAGGCCTGGAATAGAATGATCTTGGTTGGTATTTATGAACTATTATTATTATTATTATTTTTTCTTTTGTGTAAGAGTCCTATATGAACGAGATCTTTAAAATTTATCATTTGTTTATGGCCTAAAATATAACAATATTTGTAATGAGTAATTAATTGTAAAAAGTAGGATTGAGTTCTTTAGCAATATTTGATGAATAAATTACTTGTGCTGAATTTGAAATTAAATCTTTCTTATTATAAAATGAATAATTAACGTCTAATGAGTTAAACAAAGTAATTAGATTTTGTTCAATTTTTTTTTTCATGTGTTTTGGATGCCAACGCTCAATTGGTAACATGGGTTTTACCCGTTTCTCCTCCCTCACCATGGAGTACCAAATACTCCCAAAAATAATGTAGGTAGACCTCTCATCAATGCCTTTCATCATTATATGCAGGGCCGATATTTGGTCCTTTGGTATTACAGCATTGGAGTTGGCTCATGGTCATGCACCGTTCTCAAAATATCCTCCAATGAAGGTATGATGACTTGTACATAACTGAGCTTTACCCGCGATATCTTACTATCTCGTCTGACAGTTGCATTTTATTCTGTCCCCTTTTCCCTTGTTTTTCTGATAGGTGCTTCTTATGACCATACAAAATGCTCCTCCTGGGCTGGATTATGATAGGGATAAAAAGTTCTCTAAGGTATTGGTGTTTCGTTGGGTTTTTTTTCCCCTCATGACTGGAGTTATCCAATCAACTACTCTGTCATATTATTATGTAAAATACTGTTATATATGGATGAAAAGTTTATTCCTACAAGAAAATGTTGCTTTTGAGTGAATATATTTCCTCTATATGCTTTCTTGAGCTTGGGATCGTGCTAACCAGTTTTAGGTAGCTTACCATCCCAGTGATGCAACATTTTTAATCTAGGCCTAGTTAGCTACTATGTTCTAAAGCTCAAGCATTTGTTAAGGGTTTAAGACTGACTAATGAGATCCTACCCAGCCCACAAACAAAATTTGATATTTATCTTCCTGTCTTTTGTAGCTTTGATTCATCTACTTACTTATATGCACCTAGTCTGGTTTTCAGCTCACTTTTTCTTGTATATATGCTCTTTGAACTCAAGAATAGCTTTATCTTCCATCCTTAGGCAATTCTGCATTTTTATCCAAGACTACCAATAATTCCATATTAGGTCTTCTACACATTTAAAGGTTAAAAGTTGCTGGACCAAAGCCATGAATCGTACTTTGTAAATGTTCAATAGATGTATTCTAATTAGTGGATTTCCAGTTGTAATCAGTCTTTTAAAGAAATGGTTGCAATGTGCCTGGTGAAAGATCAAACCAAGAGGCCAACAGCTGAGAAACTTTTAAAGCACTCCTTTTTCAAGAATGCTAAGCCTCCAGAGCTTTCTTTGAAGAAATTATTTGCTAACTTGCCACCTCTTTCACTTCGTGTGAAGGACCTGCTGGTAACCTCTTAACTGCTTTACAACAAATATGTTGTGGTTTTGTTAATCTGATGGATTAATTAATGTTTCAGCTTAAAGATGCTGCCCAGCTAGCCTTAAAGAAAATGCCTTCAGCAGAGCAAGAAGCATTATCACAGGTTGGAAACATTTCTTCTTCTGTTTTATTTATGTACATACATATAAATCAGTTCAGTCTACTTGTTCAAGTAAATTCATTTTATAGCTCCTGTTGTTCGTGAATAATATTTGGTGAGGTCTTTCTTCTCATTTTTAACCCGAGGAGTCTATCCTATATAATTGCTTTTTCGCAAGGTTTTATGGAAGTGTTGGTATTGTCTCTGCCATGACAATTCAAAGACCCTAGTTATCACTCTAGTTGTTCCTACATGGTGGTTCTTTGTCTATTCTTTTCTACCATTACGTTTAAAACATTCTCCAATTTTTTCAATTAAGAAAAAGGGGAGTTCTTTATATTTTTTACACCGTGCACAGCCTTTTTCTTTAACTTTTTTTTTACTGGATGTATCATGTCTTGCCTTCACCAGAGTGAGTACCAGCGAGGAGTTAGCGCATGGAAATTTGATGTTGAGGATTTGAAAGCCCAAGCTTCCCTGGTAAATGTCACTTTTCGTTGCTGCGCTATGGACCATATTACAAATTCAAATTGATTACGATTACAGGCCTTTAGTTAGAGAATCTGAGTTCTGTCATTGATTTTTATATTAATGAATAGGTGAATGATGATATGGAAGAGATGATGGACAAGGAGGAGAATATAAATACTTGTCGTGTTAAGGTCTAGAGTTTTACCAACTCCAATCTTTTCTTTCTGCGAGTTCATTAAGTATTCAATTCGTTTGATGTGCTCATTTGTATTCTTTGTAATTGTCAGGATGCTTTTTGTTCTCAATCTAGTTTGAGGAATTTCAATTCATGTAATGAATCATCTCAGGATGAACATGGAGTAGGGGCAAGTGGTCAGGGGTTCCCAAAAGCGGAGTGCTTGAACAAAAAGGGAAACTTTATGGAGGGTGATATGCTGAAAGCTGGGTTCCAAGAAACAACTGGATGGAAGAGAAATGGAACTAGCACTGAAGCAGAAGCTTCTACATCTGGCCAAGACAGTGTACAAGGCAAAACCAAAACCCAAATGCCAAAAGGTCGTCAAACTCAAAGTGGTCCACTTCTACCTGGTACTGTGCTTAGTCATTCTCTATCAGAAAGAGTGCGAGGATCTGATAGGTTTGTACTTTTTCATGGTTTCATATTTGTAAGTCTCATTGTTTTCTCATGTTGCTTCTTGAAATAATGCTGGTATGCAGGAGTGATGTTTATACACTCCTGTACCATACCTTTTTTTTCTCATTGCATAAGCATGTCTTATTATAGAATGTTTTTGTGCTAGAGTAAATGTGGATTAACGCATGAAAATCTTGCTTTCATTTTAACAAATTTTTTTTTTTTGCAAGCCTTTTGCTTTCTTGTAAAATACCCGACAGTTTTTATCTGTTGTCTTTCCTGCCAGATATCAGCTTCATATCCCTCCTCCAAACCCAAATAGTGCTATATGAATAATGGCGTTGAAGTGTTAGGAGGAAGATCTTATTTCTATGATTATGCCAAAAATTCCCAACCGGCCTTTCTTCAAAAACTATTGCATTTATTTCAATTTTGATCGACATTATTAAAAGGTTTTAGTACCACAATGGCAAAGCATTTTAGCGGTGTTGTTTAGCCACTACCAAGGGAATCTTTGCGAGCCAGTCTGCAGTATCTCTAGGGCACAGAAAGCCATCACAAATTTAGAGAGGCGTTGGTGTTAGAAACCATCTCATAGCAAACTTCATCATTATCTCGTTCTTTTTACATGGATGCAGACTTAGTGAGAATGAGAATAACAGCTCCGCCTTGGACCATCGTGGAAAAATTTAACTTTCTTTGGCCTCTTACTAGTCTAAATTAACCTGGTAGGAGGCAAACTCAGTCTTGGGATCTTGCTATCAGAGGTAGATGTGCAAGAGAAGTTGCCCAAATTTTCTTGCAACCACACAATTTTGTCTGACCTACCTTCACTGTAGCAATGAAGAAGAATCCAATTTTGACCTCTCTATCAAAATCAATCTCCTTGAGTCTTTGATCCCTTTTTTGACTGAAGAACTTCAAAGTTCTTCTTTTGTAATTTTTCTTTTTAAGCAGAGGCCACTTTTGAACATTTATTGGTAAAATGTATTCCGTTTGAATTAATTTCAGGCCTTCCCAACAAGAAAAAGTGAAAAAAAAAAACGAAGGATTTATATTTCGTTAGTGAAGCCATGTTATTAATTTTGAACTATAGTTATCTACCTGATTTAGATCAAGGGTTGGGTGGAACAAGAAGAGATAGAAGAACTGATTACCCTTTACATGAATTAAGTAACTTATTGTTTCGAGCTGGTTTATTGCAATGACAGTTGCAATGATATTTGTGTTGTTGCTGATTTTTAGGTTTGAATCTGAAATTCAACCATCTACTGAAAAAAATCGTCGAGAAGCACGGCAAGCTCCAAGCTTCAGTGGTCCTCTAATGCTGCCAAACCGTGCCTCAGCAAACAGCCTATCAGCTCCCATAAAACCTTCTGGAGGTAATGTGGTCACTTAATAAACATTTTGTTTACTAGGAAATGCCATTAAACCCAGACTGTTCTACTGTTGCTCTCGTATGTAAGGGAAGCCTAGTTTGTGATTAAAAAAAAAGGAAAAAATGTACCATCGCTACATAATGATTTAGAATGAGGAGCCAGCGGAGTGTGGCTAAAGTTGTCTTAACATGTTTGACCCTGTTTTGAGGTCCTGTTGTTTTTGTTTCTTGAACTAGTTTTTCTTTTAAATTTTGTTTTAGTGAAATAGAAACTTTCATTCTCACTGATAAAATACTAGGAAAAATCAAGCAGCTTCGTTTGTGATTATTTTTCTTTCCATAGCTATTTACTAGATGTGTTAAAGATCTCATATTTAACTTTTAATTGATACTCAAGATTGAATCACATTTATTCAATCTTTTTTTTTTTTTTTTGGCTAAATGAAACATAATCTTTTCAATTAAAGAGAATACATCCAACTGATTCATCGATGAAATCATTTTGAAGTTGACAAAATATTTTGGTACCTATCTCATAGATCCTGGGCTAATCAGTTTAAAGCATAGCATGGCTTGCATCTTGATCTCATCTTAATCTCATTTTTATCTACTTTATTCTTGTTTTGAATAATACAGTGACACTTACTGTTATATATTGTGAAAATAATACTTTCACCTGTATTTTCTCGCTGTATATTTTTATTCCTCTTGTAACAACAGGGTATAGAGATTCAATGGATGACAAATCAAAAGCTAATCTTGTGCAAATTAAGGGGCGTTTTTCAGTGACGTCAGAGAACCTAGATCTCGTAAAGGTAAGGTTATACAATAATTTTAATTTTTTATACAACCTTTCTGGAACTGACTTGAAATATGGCTTAGGATATTCCATTGAGCACGGTTTCACGACGGTCTGCACAGGTTTGTTATCATTTCTTGCTAATGACCTGGGTTAGTTGATGTTCATTTTCTGAATTCTGTTACATTGATGTGTGTTCAGAACTCACCTCTACGAAAGTCGGCTAGTGTTGGTGATTGGATATTTGATTCCAAGCAGGTTTGGATAATGTCCCTGCTTGCTTTATCTCCATATGATTACTGTAATGCAAAAGTACTTTTAGACAAAAATGTTTTATATTTTGGTCTACAAGTATCGTATACTGATGCATTTGTTCCCTGGATAATTATTTTTGTAAACCTGTTCTTTTTCTTGCTTTCTTGTTGGTTGCTTTGGAGACCTGCCACAAGGTATATTTGTGGTTTATCTATAAACATCACTTAATATTTAGAATATGTTTCGGTTATTTAATTTAGAGGAAAAAAACCAATTAGAAAAGTTTAATGTTAACTCCCTTGGATTGCAGGCTTTCTTCACTTTTTTTTGTCCCGTAAATTTTATACATCAATATATAGCTGTTTTTTTGTCCAAAAAAAAAAAAAAAAAAACGAGAAAAAACTCTATTTTGTATGCTTCTGTATGAATCGACTATAGGCAGAGGTTTGTTTCCATGGCAGTCATTGAATCAATAAACCTTTGTTTATTCTTATTATATTAATTTCTCTGTTCTCAGTCTGTCAGCCAACCCCCCAAGGAGGCTTGCAACATCAACATGCCCACATCAATTCTTATGCCTCATCTTCAGAATCTTTTCCATCAGACGTCAATTCAACAGGTAAAGTAACATTAAGGCTATGGTTGAATTTTTCCCTCAAGTCTCCTAAATTCCTTCATCAAAGAATTTCGTTGTCAAATTCAGCCGTAAGAAACAAGCTTTTCTGTTGATTCCAGGATCTTATAGTGAACTTATTGAATAGCTTACAAACAGCAGACGTGGTTGATGGTAAGTAAAATGGTTTTATAGGATGGCTGACATGATCATCTTATATTATTAGGGTTCTTTACCTAACGTGTGTGTGATGCTTTTTCCCCCTCTCTAAATACAAGCTACTCAAAATGGAAAGTTGCCTCCATTGCCTCGAAGTTTGGAGAATAATGGAAGTGTAAGTGCAATCAGTGTACATTTTATATACGTTCAAATATATACTTGGTTCTCTTATCATTTTAACCCGGTAGTTGGGGTATGTGATTGATAGAAATTGTAGCTTTATGGCTGGTTCTACAGGTTGTGCCTCTATGTCCTTGAGTTCTATCTTGTAACTGATATTTTAAGTAACTCCATACATGAACCGTCCATGGATTGACCTAGTGGTCAATAAGAACTATGTGAATAGGAATGAGTTTTTCCATGATGACTACCTATCTAGGATTTGATATCCTGTATGTTTCCTGATAACAAAATATAGTTGGGCCAAACGGTTGTTCATGAGATTACTCGGGGCATGTGCAAGTTGGCTCATACATTCACAAAGAACTTCCTACATGGCTGGATAACATTAAGTTGGCTTAGATTTTTTTGTTCTGTTATAATGAAATCAGGATCAGTCTTGTTTATTATTGTTTATTATTGTGTATGCCTCCGAGTTCAGAAAATTCATGTTCTGCCCTGTAGAGGGCAAAAACTCATTCTAGTTTTAGAGTCCACATACGAACATGTGTTGTTTCAACTGCTTAGCACATATTCAATATTCCAATCGAAACTGTCTTCAGAAATGTTTGTAAAACCATAGCTGATATTCTCATGCAAATTGTAATAACTAAAAATGTTATTCGACGTGATTATTCCCTTGATAATGTGTTCTTATTTTCTTGCCTGCGCATATTGATTATTGTTGTTAAATATATTTTTGGCTTATTTATGGTGAAAGAAATGAAAGAAAACAGAAACAAGCAAGCTTTTCTTATTTAACTCATTATCTCGAGCCTTTACGCTTTCTTTCTGTACAAGCTTTGTTTTCCCTTTCTTTCCCCTTCATCCCTCACCACTTGTTTAGTTATATTTTTGATTTACCATTGATTTGCTTATGTAAGTTCTGGTTACGGAAAATCACACCTCCTTGGTTTTCGTTTGATACGAGACCTTTCTTACTCTTCCTCTGCATATGTTAGGCCATATTGCTTCTAGAAAATATTTGGTTGTCGTTTGATATGATAGCTTTATTTCTGCTCCTCTGTATATGTTAGGCCATATTGCTTCTCGAAAATATTTGTTTGTCATTTGATATGAGAGCTTTGTTACTGCTCCTTTGTATACGTTAGGCCATATTGCTTCTAGAAAATATTTGGTTGATTAATAGGTAGTACTCTTTCATTTGACCTAAAACACAGTTCTTACGTTCAAAGTCATTTTGTTTGGACTTTTCTTGTAAGTGGTGTTCAGTTGCTCAAATGGGGCTGTAATTCAGACTATCTTTGTTTTTGTTGATTTAATTTGGCATGATATTCTCTTTTATATAAGTATGTCTCTTGCTGGATTTTCATAAATGCATTTTTAAATACTGTTTGAACTTCTACTTATATATGATGTGGTGATTTGAGGACGCTACTGACAAATAATGCCTGTCCTCATGCAATTAGTTGAAGAGATCTTCGACATACAAATCTTAAGAAGTTACATTTATATGCTTTTATAAATGTGGCAACCTCAACTTGATTATACGACTGCAAACAAGAAAATGAATGTGTAGAAACTAGGGCAACTGAAATTTATTGAAAAATTGGTGTGAGTGGGGATAGGTAGGTATAAAGAACCTCACCCTTTTGATATGTAGAGATCCTCTTTTGGCAGGCCGAAACAGCAGCGGTTGAGAGAGAGCGTTTACTGATGCGTAAAGTCTCTGAACTTCAAGCTAGGTGAGTTTTTTAGAATTTTGTTATGAATATTTTTCCAGAATGTCCATGAACAACAAAGTTCTATAGATGTATTAGACCATATTTGTAGTGGATATTTAACTGTAACCCTCTTTTTCTTTCCAGAATGACGCATTTGACGTATGAGCTGACTTCTGAAAAGTTGAAATACATACAAGTGAGTTGTCTATGATCTTTCTTCCTAGTTGACTTGTTTTACCATTTTAGTTTTCTTGTTTACTTCACCTAGCAATTAGTTTCTTGTTTATAAGGTTGGGTAGTTGTAATCATCATAGTTTATATCTATCTCGTGTTCTTCTCTCTGTTTAAGAGAGCTTAGTACTTCGATTAGCAATAAGAAACGTAGAGCATTATTTCCAAATTTCCAATCTGGTATCAGGGCTTACCTAAAAATTTTCTCATTGACAAACTCATGTACAATTTTTGGCCTTCAGTTACAAGAGCAGTTCAACTCAGCATCTGGTCAGGAAGAAAACGAGATCAAGAGGGAAGAGAACGTCTGAAAGGGCACGTCCCGTGCGACGATTGCTGTAAAGTACGCCACTATATACATCTGGGAGAGAGCAATAATTAAGCAGTAAATTGTTTTTGGCATTCTACTCTTTTGATAATGTCGATTGTTGGCGTGTTGATAAGCTCTGTCGCTGAGACAAAGCCAGCAATCAATTTTCTCCATCTGGTTCTTCAGAGTTGGCATAATTCAAGATCAGTTGAGATCCCTGATCCAGAGTGGCCATCATCGCCAAAAAAACTCATATATTGCTCCTCAGTAAGCCCTCAAATTTTAATCTTGTTATTGTCTGGATGGCCATGAGATGAAAAAAAAAAAGTCTCCTTTAAGTTTGTGAATCGGCCTCCTACATTTATATTTATTTGTTCATATGTAATAATAATGAATTATTATTTTTATTTCCAAGGACCCAAAACAAGAAGCTTGCCAAAAGCAGGCTGGCCTGGGGCTTTTTCTTCTCTTCCTTTCTGTTTCTATGTGTCAACCTACCTATACTCACTCCCTCTTATCTCTCTTTGAGATTATAAACAGTGCTTGTTTTATACAACAAGTTTAGAAGAGATGCATCCAACTTATAATGTTGATCTGAAACTTGGAGGTGGATGAGTTCAAAATGAGTACACATCCAATGGTATTATTCATTACTTATTTGCATTTCAGCTCGCGCAGATCTGTAATTTACTCGTACCAAAAGATGCCTCAAAGCATACGGCCACAAAACAGATGAGGGCAGGATTACTGGTACTTCAAATCTCACCTTTTAGTTGAAGGTATATATCTTAATCAACTAAGTTATGCTTAGATCGATTACGTTATATTTATTATATAAATATATAGTTGTGTTGTCATTGAGGTTTGTCAAAACACTAGAATTTGTTTGGATGGATTTGTTCTTGAATTCGAGGATAAGTTTCTATTTAAGTTTCTAATTTTGTTTTGGCTTATATGATTTCTCCTTTACCTCTGTAAGCAAATTCAACTCAATATTTTATTTAATAAATAATATTTTTAGACGAAAAAAATTAAATTTAAACAATTAAGATCTAAACCCATTATAATCTCTCAACAAAATAACAACAATAAAATAATAAAATAATAAAATAAATATTTAAAAAAATAAAACCCTAAACCAAACTCATCTTCCTCATCTCAAACTGATCTCCTTCTGCTCTGCTCTGCTCCCCCAACAATGGCGGCTTCTTCAATTTCCTTCACCCTTACTTCTCCATTCCTCGCTTCTTCCAGGCTTCACCCCACCGCCAAACCCCTCTCCTTCTCCTTCGCTCCTCCATTCCCCAAATCCTCTTCTCCTTTCCGGACCCTTTTCCCCATTGCTTCCAATTCCTCCTCTAAACCCTCAATTCCATCTCCCATTGACTCCTCGAGTTCTTTCGCTGCCCCTTCGCTTGCCTTCAATCCAACATTGAAGTCCCGTCTCCGCAATGGCGAAACCCTCTACGGTCTCTTCCTCCTTTCCTTCTCCCCCACTCTTGCCGAGATCGCTGGTCTCTCCGGCTACGATTTCGTCGTCGTCGACATGGAGCACGGCTACGGCGGAATCTCCGATGCCCTCCCCTGTCTCCGCGCCCTCTCCGCCACTCAAACTCCAGCCATTCTCCGCATCCCCGAGAGCTCTGCCGCCTGGGCCAAAAAGGCCCTAGATTTAGGACCGCAGGGTATCATGTTTCCAATGATCGATTCGTCCAAAGAAGCCAAAAAAGCTGTTTCATATTGCAGATTCCCACCCGCCGGAGTCCGTGGATCAGCTCATCCAGTGGTTAGAGCATCGAAATACGGCATTGACGAAGGGTATTTGACAAATTACGAGGACGAATTACTGATTATGTGTCAGATTGAATCGGAGCAGGCGGTGAAGAAGATAGATGACATAATGGAAGTGGATGGGGTTGATTGCATTCAAATGGGGCCATTGGACATGAGTGGAAGCATGGGATATCTATGGGACCCTGGACATAAGAAGGTCAGAGAAATGATGAGAAAGGCAGAAAAGGCTGTTTTGGAGAGCAAAAGTAAAAGTAAAAATGGTGAGAAGGGAGCCTTCTTATGTGGGTTTTCAATGCCTCATGATGGACCAATTGACATGAGGAAGCGTGGATATCAGATGATTTCTGGGGCTGTTGATATTGGTTTGTTTAGAACTGCTGCTGTTGAGGATGTGAGGAAGTTTAGAATGAGCGAAATGGAAGACTCTGAGGATTTGGATCAGCCTCTTACTCACAAGGAAGAGGATGAAGAAGATAAGTACTGGAGCGAATGAAGAAACTTATCCTTTTTCACAATATGCTTCATCTTTTTGCCTTTTTTCTTGTTCTTTCTAGTACATAAGTAGAGCTTGGAAATGCAATTCTTGATGTGGGTATCCTTGTTCTTGTTCTTGCTCTTGTTCTTGCTCTTGTTCTTGCTCATATATGGTTATGCACTTTCTAATGCTTTCCATTTTTGTTTGTACAGACATTTTCAGTGTCCTTTTTCTTCTTCTCTGCTGGAACTTTGCCTCAGTTCTTAGTTTTTGACTTCTCTGTGCCTTTACTTTTACATCTTGATCTTGCTACAGGATTCATAATTATATTGCTATATAATATCCTTAGGCCATGTGAAAGGAGACAGGTTGGCCTTGGTACTCTCTGTTCTCATTGATCAGAATCACGTGCCATCATTGATCAATGTTTGTCTCATTTTCCCATCTTAGCCCTCTGAATTTTTATAGTCAAACCGAAATACATAATATAGATCAAGCTAGAAGTTTCAGAAGTGGGGTCATTGTGGTAAAATCCCTTCTGTTTGTGGCCTTTTTGCTCCTGCTATGTCTGCTTCCATACTTGACAGCAGCAAGCTGTGATGTAAAAACGTCCTCTTTTAAAAGGGTTCTCTTTGGCTGTCAAGAAACAGGTAGATTTGTGGAAGGGGAGGCAAAAAAAAGTGGCGGTGGTGGGTTGAGACAAGCTCTTATGGCGATTCTTGAGAGCTTTCTTAGATTTAGGTTTCTTCAGCATGTTGTGATTTTGTTGCAGATCCATAGTGTAATCTGCTATCGGTACAAAGTTGGAGATTTGGATTCTTGGGGTCTTCCCACTTCTGAAAATCCAAAGATCTATATGTATTGGTCTAAATATCACTCTCTCAAGATTGGCGATTCTCTGAGTAAGTGCATTTGTTTTTCTTCCTCTCTTAAATCTGCTGTTGCTGCTGCTTTGATTTCTGATTTCCATGGCGGTGTGTTGCAGTGTTCTTGTATCCACCAAGCCAAGATTCAGTGATTCAAGTTACAAAGGAATCTTACAACAGCTGCAATCTCAAGGATCCAATCTTGTCCATGAAAGATGGTAACTCTGTTTTCAATATCACTACTTACGAGGATCTGTTCTTCACCAGTGGAGTTGCAGGCCACTGTGAGAAGAATCAGAAGCTTCATATCTCTGTGCTTTCTGGAAATGGTTCTTCTGCAAGCGCTCCATCCTCTGATGGTGCACTTCCTGAAATCTCTCCCTCTTACCCCACTGTTTTTGGTGGAATCCCAGCAGCTCCCATGGCCAATTCCAGCGCCTCCTCTTCCTCTTTGTCAACAAAAATCTCATTTTTTCCTGCCTTGGTTGCTGCCTTTGCTGGGCTTTTGATTCTGAGCCAATGAGTTAGTTCATATATTGAGATTCATTGAGTTATAATAGTTTGAGAAATGAATTCTTTTTCACAATTATTATCCCTGCGTTGTTGTGTTCTTAGATGAGTTTGAAGTCATCTGTGTTGTTTAATGGTGTTTCCTATAAGAAATGGCTCTGATTTTCAGGTGTAAAACTCTCAGGCGGCCCTGTAGTTTTGGTCGTGTCAGTTCTAATTTTCATATGCCAGCCACCTAATACTCACAACATGGGAATCTCAACTTCGTTTCTAAATTGACCGACATATTTAATCACTCCATAAATTTGTTTTGCTTGCAATAGTCCGAAGGTCACTTGTGAAACCCCGACCCAACCCAACCCAGAGCATGTAAACTCGAGTTCTTTCTTCTGGAGGCATATTAAATTCATGAAAGTTTTTGTGGACAAAGGAGTCACAAAATTCTCTCATCATATTCAAAATTGTGTTTCTCATTTTACCTACTGCATGTAAATATAGGAACATAAAATAAGAAAAAACATGAAACTTACAGACGCAAATCAAGCAACAAAACAATACAGAACCAATGCAAAAGCTCATGTAATATATAGATTAGAGCGATTTGGTTCAGTTAGCCGTGTCAACTCCTACTGCAATGGCTTTATCTGGGGTAGCCACTGCATATTGTACCTCAGGAATCGTAGTAGGGTTCCCATAAGCTGCTTTTGATTCTGATCCTGCGAAGGGACTCCTGAGTTGGGCAGCCCCAGAATCAATTTCCATGGAAGCCCTTGGAGGGGACGCTGGCTGGACCTCAACGTTCGGATATGCAGCCTTGAACCTTGCTCTTAGTCCTTCATCAACCAACCTCACTCCATTCAATTGATTACCAAGAGATATCCACCTGAAAAACAATTCAACAAAGAATCATCATATGGTGCTACATATCATCTAGATGTGCATGTTAAAGGAGCCATGATAATATCAAACTCGATGCAGAAACGAATGTATTAACACCAGCAGCCACCATTTCGTAAACATATTTGTGAAATGTGAACAATTAGTTTCAGATTTATCAGTTTCGTTGTGTTGTGCATATATATAGTTTATGCACGAAACACCAGCAGCCACATTTTGTAAATACATTTGTTAAAGGAACAGGTAATTTCAGATTTATCGATTTAGTTAGTATATAAATAATTATTCACAAGTTTTGTGGATCATAATGCAAGGTATAGTTTCTGTCTTGAAAAATGCTCTCGTTTGAAGCCTTCATGAAAGGAAAATAGTAATGATAATATAAATGAAACATACCCTGCATGAGTGTTGTGCATGCGAGCAAACAATTCTAGCTTTCTTGTTCTTGGACTTATCCTCTCAAGCAAAGGGTACATCTGCAATGATACGTTCTCATTATTGAACTGATAAAAGAGAAACAAACAAACATGAATATGAAGCATGTGGAACTCCTATGGAGGGTTTTGATGATGAATTGGCATAGTGGTCATAAGGGCATTCACGAAATAAGAAGGAAACGTTCAATCCATAGCGGTCAACTACTAGGACTTATTATCCTGCCTTACGTATAGTTGCCAGAGTATGCTTAACCTCGAAATTTGAAATCACTGCTTATATAATGTTTTCATGTTCGACCAAATGTAGTAGGATAAGGCAGTTATCCAGTGTGATTATTTGAGGATAAAGAAAGTGATTCCCGAGCACCCTTGTACTGAAGCTCAATGTTCCAAAAGTAGAGAAATATGTCCCAAAAATTCTCGCTTTTCACCTTTTGTATCTTGTTATCCATACTACTACATATATATTTTCTTTCATAAACAACAAATTTAGCTATGTTTTACTATTGTGCACCCCATAAAGTTCCTTCCTTTTGCCTTAGTGCTCAACTTTTAAAGGGTTTTTGCACTTTGGTGTATATAGCATTTCAAACACTAAAAAATGAAAACACTGCTCCTTAGCATACTAGAGGCATGATGCAATATTTTGTAACCCCATCGCTCAAAGGGAAAACAGAAAAAATTACCAGTGTCCTGCCCAATATTTTGAACCCCTATCAAAATGGATAGTGGATATTATTCGGTATTAAGGTTATATTAGTAATAGCTAAGAAGTAATTAGTGGGGACTTGTTATAAATAAAGGGAAGGAGAAGGAATGAAGGTGTAATAGCCCAAGCTCACCGCTAGCAAATATTGTCCTCTTTGAACTTTTTTTTCAGGTTTTCCCTCAGTTTTAAAACGCGTTTGTTAGGGAAAGGTTTCCACACCCTTATAAGGAATGCCTCATTCCCCTCTCCAACCGATGTGGGATCTCACAATCCACCCCCCTTGGGTACAGCGTGCTCGCTGGCACACCACTCGGTGTCCGACTCCAATACCATTTGTAACAACCCAAGCCCCTTACTAGCAGATATTGTCCTCCTTGGACTTCCCCTCAAAGTTTTAAAACGCGTCTATAAGGGAGAGGTTTCCACACCCTTATAAGAAATGTTTCGTTCCTCTCTCCAACCGATGTGGGATTTAGGAGTGGGTGGCCACTCAAAAGACGGAAGTTCCAAGTCCTCGCATACTCATGGAGTAACATTGTCATTCGATTACTTTTTACATTCCAACATATTTGGGTTCTATCACAATATTCCAAGTGAGCTTTTGAAGAAATAACAGATGGGGAGGTTTTGAAAGAGAGAGATAGACTAACCTCGTCTGGTTTTCGACTCGTTTCTCGAACCTCCGCAACAACAACATCTGTATCAATATTCCTGTTAACTTCTGGATTTCCCTTTATTCCAACAAGGCAATGCTCCTTACTATGATTGAGCCAATGGCCAGTCCGCCCTGTTCTAATAATTCTTTGAAGTTGATTTGTCTTAACCCATATAAGCTCCTCAACACGCTTGTATCCCCATTGTTCTAAACTGCAAAGGCAAAGTAATATGCTTGTGAACCAAATGAAAGATAAAAATTCAGCACATTATTAGCTTCTCAGCAACACATTAATGATTGTACATAAAGAGCATAATTTTGAATACAAACAGAAGGAACATATTATACAATTGTTATATCCAACAGGAAATAAGAAGTGAGCACACACCATTCTCTTCCAAGTTCCATTGCACGCCCAGTGACCCAAAGAAAAATCAGACCATCGGTCTGTAGCGCAGGAACGTTGAGATTGCGCATTTCATCATCAGCCATTGTTCCATAAGGCAATTCCATATGGATATCCCACGGTGGATCTGCCATAATCACTCCAAATTGCCCCAAAATGTCCATTCTAAAATTACGAATGTCACAGTTAATCCATTGTGATTCACCAAGTTCTACCTCCGAACAATATTCAGCTCGCTGAGGCTTTAGTTGTTTGGGAGGAGCAACAGATCCAGCTCCCATAAGCATAGGTGGCACATCTTGAATTGGATCAAGTTCGTAATGGACATACTTGCATGTCTGGAGAAAATGCAATGTAGTACCATCATTAACACATTAACCAATAGACCTCTCTGTCCTCATATATTGTGTGTGTGTGAGAGAGTTGGGCGAAGGATTGCCCCCAAGACAAAAACTAAGAGTGTTGATATTTCATTACTAGCGATGCTCATGAAATAAATATTTACCTTCATGTGCCGACAGGTATCAAGAAAAGAGCAGTCACCAAGATTGATGTCAGTATGTGGGGCAATGATTCGCCGAAAATGAACCTGTAAAGTTTGTAGGTAATAATTAGTGAAGTTAATCGATTCATTTCGTGACGAGTACAACAATGTGAAACATTTTATAAGTGAAATAAGTGGGAGAGTTCGAACTTAAATAAGAACAAACAAATTGCTTATCAATTCTCAGTTTATTTTTCTCTCATTAAAAGTAAAGGGCACAGGCCACCTTCAGTCCCAGTTCATTGCAGAAAAACTAAGCAAAGCCATAGGTCTTGAAAGCTAACAGCATAACGATTTACACAGTACAAGTATGGTTCGTCTCGACACCACTCAAACTTAGATCAATCTGCCCACCAACTTGACCTTTGCCTTGGAAAAATAGACTGAGTCAATAATATCTCAATTATGTTAGATGAACACGACTCTCCACAATGGTATGATATTGTCCACTTTGAGCATAAGCTCTCATGGTTTTGCTTTCAGCTTCCTTAAAATGTCTCATACCAATGGAGAAAGTATTTTTTGATTATAAACCCATGAACATTCTCTAAATTAGCCGATGTGCGACTTTCGTCATCCAACAAACTATAGTTATGATTTATAAACTCAAAACTACATTACTTGTAATTCTTCTATGTTAATTCTATTTGATATGTTGTGATAATAACCCAAAACATGAGAAATAGGTACAGAGAAAATAAAGGATCCATGGCAATCTTCTCGAAGATATTTTAAAAGCTTCTAAAAGAACTAGGTATAACAAAACCAAGAGAGGGGGGAGATTGCATGTAAAAGTAGCAATGCACTTTAATACAAGCCAGTTATGCAATTCACTTTCACCATTTTAAAGAAAATGAGAAAGGTCTAAACAGCTATTCTAATGATCTAATCCGATTCTTCACAAAGCAAAAGCTAAGCAGAATCAGTTTTTACAGCATTGATTTGAGAATAAATTTCAGTGCAACTACACCATGAATCAAGATCTTGGAAAATGGAAACATGTCACTTATATTATAAGCAAATTAATGTCTACACTTCACAGTAGAGTTTGTACGAACCTTCTCACACGCGACATAAGAGCCAGATTGACGCCGACAGTCCTCTTTTGTTAAGGATGAGCAGTATTCTTTCAGTTGTGAACCACCTTTAGTTTTAAACTGGAGAACAAATTAAGAAATTGTGAATTGCAATAAGGGCATTCCTTGCTATATAATAATATATCAGGTTAGCAAATGATAAAACTAAGAACTCATACAGAAATGACAAGAACATAGCAAAATTTAAGCCATGAACAATGATTTACATCATATTTCAAGCAATCTATGTGTGCTTAAAAGTTTAAAGCTAAGGACCTCTGAAACATAGCAAAATTTGAATCCATGCCACAGAAAAGAAGCCATGAACGTAGATTATGTATATACTTTTCAAACAATAACCAAGGACTTAGCTAACATAAACGATAGAATCATAGCAAAATTTGAATCCATGCCACAGAAAACAAGTGATGAATCTAGATTATACCTTTGCTGCCACAGCAGTTTCCCTGGCAGTTGGGCGGTGAATTAGGTCCAAGAGCTCCTCACCAGTCTTCGACTTCTGCGATTCTCTAAACGACTTCTTGTTCAACAAGGCTTCGAGATCGTTCATGTCATCCTCCTCAGATTTAGGCTTCTGCGGCATTGAATTGGGGCCACCCATGGGCACATTTGGCCCCATCAATGGCCTATGCAATGGTGGGAGTCCCATCCCTCTAGGCATCCCCATCATTCCCATCATACCAGGGGGACCCCTTCCTCCAGCCATTGTACCTGCAGGTCCACTTCCCGGAAACATGGGTGACAGTCCCTGCATATTGGGGTCTCCAGGCCCCATCCACATCTCCGGCATCGGCCTCGGCATTGGCCCTCCCATCCCAAAGACTCCGCCATTGCCATCCACACCACCACCACTCACCACTTGCTGGTTCTGATTATGGCCGGAATTACCCTCTCCCGAGTTCGATTCCTGCAACTGAAAATCAGCACTCTCAGGCAATTCCTTCATAAGCCGAGTACGATCAATCCCCAACACCATCACTCGAGACTTCCCACTCACAACAAACTCCTCCAATTCAACCCCGCCGTTATCCTCCACCATCGACCTCAAAGCCATCTCCACCGCCAATATCGCACCGGAATCTCCCCCTAATTCCCGCAACGCCGCCTTCTCCGCCGCCGTAGCCTTCTGATCATTCTCCAATTTCCTCAACACCGTCGAAGAATCAATCGCCGTAAAATGAACCCGTTCGAGTAAACAAACCGCCACCATCGACCGCACAACCGACAAAGGGCTTCTACTATCGCCAATCGAAAATTTCCCGCCATCAGGCTGGCGAACTCGCTTACGATCGGAATTCAATCCCGGAAACGACTTCGCATTCCGATTCTTCTGAATCGCGGGTTTCGCTTCTCCTAACGGAAGAAGATTAGGGCGGGATTTGTGGAGCATAGCGTCACTACTCGACAAAGGGTATTTAGAGGGTTTGTTCTTGGGTTCAGGGAGAACCGGTGTGGGAGTAAAGGAGCGTCCATTGAAGGAGGATACGAGCTTGAGAGAGAGATCGAGAGAAGAAACAATACCAGGAATTTGAGCTTGAACAGAAGAGAGAAGCTCCAAGTGGTTCGTGTGTTGGGCTACAATGCGAGCTTCGAGTTGCTGACGCTTGTCTTTGATGCTCGCTATGCTTTCTTCTGCGGCTTCTGATTGGGTTTCCATGATTCTCAGCTCTGATCTCCAATGGAAGAAGACCACACCCGAAGGAGAAGAAATTGTTCCATATTTAAATTAAATATACAAAATACATTCAAACTAAATAAATTAAATTTATAAATATAAGATTATTATCTCACAATACATGAATTTTAAAAATATATATAAAAAATGTTATATAATAAAAAATAAAAAATAAAAAATTATAATGTATATTATAACATTTTTAGAAATTTTTAATAAAAAAATTATTCAAATTTAAGTTTGGAGTAAGGGACGAGCGATGATTCAAGATCTCTGGTTTGACCCCACACGATCAACTCGAGGGTTTCACACCAACTTGAGTTTGAGCCGAGGGAATTTGACAAGGCCCAAATAATAAATATTCGTTGTGGATCGAAAAATCTTTTTTGTTTTAGCCCGTTACATATCGTGTTAGCATCACAATTTTTAAACGTGTCTACTGGTAAGAGATTTCTACACCCTTATAAGAAATGCATCCTTCCTCTCTCAAATTGATGTAGGATCTCACAATCCATGTAACAGCCCAAGTCCAAGCCTAGTCCACCGCCGTCAGATATTGTCTTTTTTTGAGCTTTTACTTTCGGGCTTCTTCTCAAAGTTTTAAAACGCTGAGAGATTTTCACACCCTTATAAAGAATGATTTGTTTTCCTCTGTAACTGATGTGAGATCTCACAATTCTAGATTGTGAAATCTCATATCAGTTAGAGAGGGAAACGATCCGAGTGTAAAAACCTCTTTCTAGTAGACGCATTTTAAAAACCTTGATAGAAAGCCCAAAGAGGACAATATATGCTCGTGGTGGACTTGAGATATTACAATTCACCCCCTCAGGAGTCTAGTGTTCTCATTAGCACATCGCTCAGTATCTGTCTCTAATACCAACCATAAGAGTCCGAGACCACTACTAGTAGATATTATATGTTTTAGTCAAGTACATATCGCTATTAGTCTCACGATTTTAAAAACGCATCTACTAGGGAGAAATTTCACACCCTTATAACAAATATTTCGTTCCCTTTTCCAACCGACGTGGAATCTCACTGTTCTAAACTCAAACGAACTAGCCGAAAGCCCATTATTAGTTTAAGCATTAACAAACAAACACAATCCATTTGAATGTCCTCTTTTCTATACAAAGAACATGCTTGGAAACACTCTAATTCTACTTCAATTATTAAACCAAAAAGATCAATTTTGATCTTTGAAAATGCTACCTACTCTTCATATATGCATATCCACTTTGTGTTATGGCCTTGTCAAAGCTATCCATTATAGGAACATTACTTGACTCATTAGCTATCTCAGCTCCCCCAATGTTTGCTTGTTGTAGAAGCTCCATAAGCGATACAAACACGTTTATCCTTGTAACGCTCCGGTTAGCCTGCAACAACACAAGTTAATCAGCCGTCGAACATAATACTATAAATCATATTCGGTCTCGGTTTCTTACATTTAGCTTCACCTCGACCACAAACTGAGCCCATATCTTCTCCTCTCGAACTTCCATCACGCCTTTCAAAATCGTCAATCCATAGCTACGAATCATCTCGGCTATCTCGAGAAAGAGCCCTCTTTCCTCACATAGCATCTAAACAAAGAACAATAGAATCACGTCAAAAAGAGGTTTCGACAATCGAACATATAACACTTGATCTCCTAACCTCTATTAGCATTTGGCCAGGTGAACTAAGGTCTTCGACTATAACAGGGCAAACCATTGGCATCGATCCCAATTTGAACGCCCAGGTAACCCCGCCACCTCCTCTCTCCGTCGTATATTTGTCACTTACACCCACTCCGTTCTCTTGGTCAATTAACTGTGATTTGAAAAATTAGTTAGGTGTGAACTTGTAAGAAAATAACGAGGAAAGAGAATCAAATACTGACCTTTGGTTCGTTAGTTTCTTTAAGCTTATCGGCGTATTTCGTCACGCTTTGTAAGAAAAGCATGTATTTGATCGTTCGATCCAACAACGAGTCGATGCTACACTGTTTCATCGATCAAAAACATACATGTCAAATGCTGCATTAACAAGGCATTATTAACGATTCGACATGAACTAGATTTGTACCTTTGCACCACTCGGGATAATTCCTCGTAACTCTTTGATACGATCTTGGATCTGTTGTCGATCCTTCGGTCTCGGACGGTTACTCTCTCCCGGTCTAGCCCTTTTCTTAAAAGTCTTAGCAGGCTCTTCACTCTTATGGGATGGTTCTAAGATGGAGCCTCCAATATTGATGCTATAGCTGTCGTCGATCCATGAACTTACTCGTGACTTTGGTACAGCTTCGTTCGTACTCGGGAAACTATCAACCATGCACAACGGTTGTGTCAGATTCACGTCAATGCAACGGTCGAGTGACGATCTTTCCATTTTCGACCTTTTCGAGGCAATCGTTTGATGATTCTCAATACTTGATTTAGTAGCAGAGCTAGTGTTACTTAGACCATCCAAAAGTTCTTCAATTCCCAACTCCCAGAATAATCTCTTGCGGGGGAGATCCGATGACCCCGTGGCTAACTTCGACGTGCACGTCGACATACTGTTGCACCCGCCCGAGTAGCTGCCATGAGCTTCGGTTATTATGTTATCCCAAGTTTTGACCACTGGGCATCCTGTAGCTAACCCCAAACTATCAAAGAGTCTATCTTTTGTATCCTGCATATCTTGTCCATTAGTTATTAGACTTTGGGCAGAGACAACCGACGTTTTGCTCGGATCGTCTTCGAACTTACGAGCTTCAACTAAATTAGACGACAATGTTGAAACTCCGGTGGGAAGGCTATGGTTCAATGCTGTAGTTACTCCATCGGTTCCGATCTCTGGTGAAGAATCAAACCACTGAAATAAATCATCCACGAATGAATCCTCGGTAAGACGCTCATCACAGAAGTCGGGTAGGCTCGTTATGCTGTCTATAAGTTCACCTTCATTCATGGGAAGTAACTGAGACGACGGTTGAACAATGTCGATAGGGAGAGAACCTATTCCACTCGAGACGGGTGTGAATGTCGTGCTATTGTTTCCATATTCCGTTTCGTTTCTACAAGATTCGAGCATATTAGCATCTGAGTAACTTGGATATTGAGCATCTTGTTCTCGAACATCGGATGTTGGCAGTGGCTCGGGTGAAGTTAACACGGAATTCTCGCTACTTTTACTGAAGCACGACGTATCGTAGACTGGTTGTTTATCAGTTGAAGCATATGATTTCCCTGAGAAGTTTGTATGCATGGCACTGAGACTCCAGTCATCGGAATTTGTAGACGAGACGATGGACGTGAAAAGCTCGTTAACGTGACGGATATCGGTGTTCGAAGCCAGTGGAGTAGGTTCCTCATGTACTCGACACAACGACTTCTTTGCGTCTGCCAAAAACTCCAAACTTTCCAAGATCTGCAGCAAAAAGAACGAACTATTCAATCCCGGTCGAGCTAAATAAACAGAATTCGAAGCATCGACGATTTACAGGATGATTATATGTAACCTTATGAGTAGAACCGAGCTGTAGAACTCCATACGGTTGAACAGGAATTACTGCAATGGTCTGCAATCGACACGATCACATCAGCTAAAACTAACGAGTTAATCAAAGTAGAAACACAAAGCAAGCACGGTAACGAAATAATGTTGTAACAGTCAAGCCCACCACTAACAGATATTGTCCCGTTTGGCCTGTTACGTATCGTCATCAGCCTCACGGTTTTAAAACGTGTATGTTAGGGAGAGGTTTCCACACTCTTATAAAGAATGTTTTGTTTCCCTCTCTAACCAATGTGGAATCTCACAATCCACCCTCCTTTGAGACCAAGCGTCTTCGTTGGCACACTACCTGGTGTCTGGCTCTAATACCATTTGTAACAGCTCAAGCCCACTGCTAACAGAGATACTGTCCGCTTTAACTCATTACGTATCGCCGTCAGCCTCACGATTTTAAAATTCGTCCATTAGAGAGAGGTTTCCACACTCTTATAAAGAATGTTTCGTTCCCATCTCTAACCAATGTGGGATCTCACAATCCACCCTCCTTGGAGGCCGAGCGTCCTCGTTGGCGCACACCGCCCAAGACCTGGCTCTGATACCATTTGTAACAGTCCAAGCCCACCGCTAATAGATATTACCCTCTTTGACCCGTTACGTATCGCTGTCAGCCTCACGATTTTAAAACACGCCTATTAGGGAGAGATTTCCACACTCATATAAAGAATGTTTTGTTTCCCTCTTTAACCAATGTAGGATCTCACAAATGTTGTTTCGTAAAGCATCAACAAGAAACAAACGGGCATACCTTTATCCCACAGAAGAATTGCTGTTCAAACTCCAAATTATCCTGCAATAAGAGATGTTATCAGATGTCTGAGATTGAGAGGTAATTAATGACCAAGAACATACGGGTCAACTCGAGCATAGTTCAATTAGTTAAGACATACATCTTCAGCCAATAGCTCAGATGTTCAAATCCCCACCCCACCATTGAACTCGATAGAATAAACGGAAAGAAACGAGTACCTGAAACATAGCGGAACTCCATACGCCAACGTAAGCATCTGAAAATACCCATCTGTGCTTTCCAGTGAAAGCAGCTGTGCCAATGACTCTGAGAACAGACCATATATTGAGAATTAAGAAAAACAAAAAAACACAAACATATGACATAACGAAAGGATTGAACTCAAAAAAAAAATATAATATAATGAAGAACAGGCAGCTTACCCTTCACCAAGCATGTGAACTTGTTGAAGCATATTTGTGGCCACCAGCCCCACTTGCTCTTCATACCAAAAATCTTCCAAAGTCAACAACCTATATGCATACCAACAATATAGCCTATGGTAAGCATAGTGTTGTAACATCACAGCTCGACCCAAAAATGAATCGAAGTTGATAATTGATAGTATATTCGAACCGACAAACGATTGTCGATATTAATTAGAAACGAAATGATATCACAAAAGTTCGAACATAAGAACGAAAGT